GGGCGGGGCCTGCGGGCGGGCGGGGCCTGCGCGTCTCACCTCCGGGGCGATGTAGTCCGGTGTCCCGCAGAAGGTGTTCGTCCTGGCGTCCCCCAACATGTTCTCTTTGCACATTCCAAAGTCCGCTATTTTGATGTGTCCATCTTTGTCTAACAGGATGTTGTCTAGCTTCAGGTCCCTGAAACACGAGCAAAGCACCATCTCATTCCATCAAGGACAACCTGATTGAAACGGAGCCGCGCGCGGCCCCTCGCCTCACGCTGTCGGTGGGCAGCCCTCACTTGTCCCCCCCCACCCCCCCACGCACCGGGCACTTAGACGTTCCCGTGAGCAGCACCAGGGCTGGGGACTGTGCATCCCGACAGAGAGCTGCGGGCTGGGTGACGCGTCCCCTGACCCTCGTTGGTGTCCCCGCCCAGGACCGTGGACGCTGGCCTTGAAGCAGCACGCGCGCCCCCTCCCCCGGGGCCTTCGAGCTGTCCCGTGTCTTCCCTCCATGTCAGCTCCCCAGTCCTCCCTGAGCTGGCCTGCAGCCTGCAGCCCCGCCAGCCCCCGCCCGGGGCCTTTCTTTTTATATTTAATTCCCCCTTAATCTGCAGTAAGTCGGAGACCAGACGACTGAGCATTTGACGGTTTGAATGTCAGCTCTGTCTTGAGAAAAGAAGGCAGGAGACTGGAGTACCCCAGCTTTCATCTAAGGGGACTGCGCAGTGACCGTGTACAGCGGGGGCTTGTGCACAGACAGCCATTCCCGAAGGAGGGTGTGTCTGGCGTCCTGTGCTCGCCTGCAAGGCGCAGGCTCACAGGTGTCCACAGGTGTGTCCGAGCGTTCAAGGGAGAGTCCCCTGCACCCCCACACAACAGGGGAACACTCAGTCAGCAGTTCTGGGTGGCCCAAAGCAAAAGCAGGCAGAAACAGAGGACGCGAAGGAGACAAGAGAGAGAAAGAACAAGCTGTCAGAGAGAAAGCAGAGGGATGGAAGGACATGAGAAAAACGGAGGTGAGTGGAGAATGAGCGGTGTCCCCAAAGCACCCTGGCCATTGCGCGTCACCGAGGTACAGTGACCGCGTGAACCGGCCCCGGAGATCCGGCCCGCGCAGACTTCGCCTCCGCAGAGCGACGTTTACCTGTACACGATGCCTTTGGAGTGCAGGAACTGCAGCCCGAGAATGATTTCAGCCGCGTAAAACCTGGGGGAAGCAGGCGAAGGTTGACCGTGAACGCGCTAACACAGCGACGACGATGGCAGAGCCCCACTCCCCCCTGCGGGCGCTCTGGCCCCGCTCGGCTGGGCTCGGGCGCGCTGAGCGCGGGAGGAAGATGTGAGCCCCCCGGGCGGGGGCGCAGCTGGCGTCTCACATTAGCCCTCCCTGCCTGCCGAAGGCGCTCATCCTTCTGTTTTAAACCACAGGGCTCAAACGGGCTTTTCTTTCCCCTAGGAAAACATCCACTGGCGTTAAATGTAATAGTATAACGGGAAAATCACGTTCCCTTTTATTTCGAACTCTGCTTGGAGCCCCTGGACCTGTATGCAGGGTCATTCCAAATAGATGGGACTTGTTTGTGTGCAAGAAATGCAGCCTCAGCGAGGGAGGAAAGAACAGGAGGTGATATGGGGGGGGGACGGGCTCCCCACCCTCGAGGACACGGGTTGACACGGCCACCGGTGGGACGAAAGCTGGAGATGAGGGGCCACCGCCTGGACGCGAGGTGTGCTGGGCTTCACAGAGGAACGCCAGCAGCTCCGTCCTAGAGGCTTGGAGGACGCACCGGACGGCGTGTGTCTGTGATGGAGGGAATCCAGCACGCAGAGGGGCTGCTGGCTTCTCTGCTGCGGACATGGTGGGTAGTCGGTGCTCCCTGGGTCTCACGGGACGGCCGCTTCCGCAGAGTTTCTGCAGGAGCTGGGTGGTCCAACCCGGCCCGAAGCGCCCACTGGGGCGAGCGTAAGTGTGTGGAAGGCACACGGCCAGTGCGCACCCGCCTTTTAAATGGGCCCGGGGCGCAGGGTTTGGGTTTGCTTTGAATGTCACAGTGGTTCTACTTACTGGCGCTCAGGGGACGAGGGGCAGGGCCTACCACGTGGGCACGGCTGCCCCGTTTCATGCACGCGTCTCGGTTGCTTGACGCCCAAGAACGTGGACTCGTCCGCAGACTGAGTGCCTCTTCTGGTTCCCTAACCCTCAGGCCTGAAGCCTTGTGCTTTATGCCTCCGCATCAAGTTGCCGCGAAGGCCTCGGCTGGAGCCCCCCCAGTGCCCCCCACCCCCCTGGGGCCCACGCTCCCTCCGCCTTCTCTTCCTCTGTGCTCAGCTCGCCCAAGAGCCCGGTGAGCTGGGGCAGCTCCTTGAGAAAGTGAGTAGTCGATTTCAAATCACAGAGAAATGAAGGCAGACGGACACGGATGTAAGCTCACACACAGGGAAAACTGGTGCCTGTGCAACGTGAACCCCGGGGTCCCCTGGCTCTGGGGGTCCGGCGTGCAGAGTGAGGAGGCAGAAATGCCGCAGGGACAACGTGTCCTGCGGGCGCCATGGGGACCCAGTGCCCGCCCAGAGCAGCAGACACCCCAGACTCACGTTGCTCTGGACAGGTCGAACTTCTGGCAGCTCTGGATGTGGTGCATCAAGTCCCCGCCATTGAGATACTCCATCACGAAGAAGA